GCAAAAAGAGCCAATTTTTTTTAATGGCTCACAAAACATTAACGATTTCCGTGTTTGGAAATACAGTTTTGCTTTGAAGAATAAAATGCACTTTCCATGAATTATAGCAGTGAGACAGTCTGCTATGGAGTGTAAAAGCCATTTAGTATTGAGCAAAGTGATCTGTGCTGCCCCTTCACAACACTCTGGTTACTCACAAAGAGGGCCATCAAGCATCGTTTAGCTTTTCCCTCGCAACCTTGATCTGATCATACGTCCTGTGGTTCTGTTATTACAAAACCCTAAAAATTCACCTGTTTTGGCCTTCAAACATGACAGGAGTTTTGCAAATTCTTAAATTTAGTATCAATTTGGAAGCCGGTTCTTAAAAAGACTTACAGGAAATAAACAGCCTCTTAAATTAAAACTGATGGAAGAATTTCCCAAACACCTGCTTGATTTTATGACCAAAATCTTAAGGCTCAGACCATATGGCTATTGGGCCTCTGGAGTTCTTGGTTGGTCAGTTTGGGCTGGGAACAACAATATAAATGTGCTTTGTCCAGTGATGTGACTTTTTTTAGGTAGCAATTTGATTTTGCGTTAAATTATGTAAAATGTTTTTCTAAGCGAGCCGGGGAATGGCCTTTACGCCGCTGTGAGGGTCTGTCCCTTTGGCATCGTCTCCTGACTTAATTCACAGCCATCAGAAATCAAAGGACTTGTCATACATTTTTAAAACGATTGAGCCTTCAAAAATTTTATGAGTTTATTAAAGATTCACTTTGAAGATCCTGTAAGAAAGATGTGAGCGGAGGATGTAAATTCCATGCATCGTTTTTTTTTCAAAATCCAATTTCAAACACTATTAAGGTGGTAATTAAAGATTCTTTCCCTGTAGATGTACCAATATGCGGTGACATACAAGAATGTCACAGTGTCTCCTTCTGTCCTGCTCTGAGTCAGACCACAAACACACTGCTGTTAAGTGCTCAGACACTGCTCACTATATAAATGCAAGTTGTTGTTGACAATATTCAACACTTCCTGGTAATAATTCTGAATTTATGCATTCACAATCCCATAATTTGGAGTAAATCTGAATCCAAACCTGACTTGCATCAGGATGTCCAGATCTCCAAGATGCCATGTTTGTACTTTAGTGACTTTCAGAAATCACAATTTAGCTTTTTTGCCAACATCATAAAAGGGAATCTGCAATTAGCACTTCATCCGAATATCACAAAATAGTCCTGAGTGATTTGAGCAGATTTACTACATTCACACAAAATTTAGATTGGAAATGATGTCGTCTAACCATTGTCTGCTGACTTCAAACACTTCCTTTCTTGCTAAACTCTCCTCGCTCTGACCTTCCCTGAGCTTCTGCTCCATGTACCGCCTCATGGTGGGCAAATTGAACCTTCACTTCACCCCTGCCTGTCCCATCCCACACAGCAATGTCCCACAAATAGCCGTGAAGTGAATGACCAATGTTATCTGGAGGATAATGTGACATTGGCTGGGACTGGGAGAAACTCCCTTCTCTTGTCCAGTAGTGACCCAAACAGCAGACCCTACCTTGCTTTAATGTCTCATCCGAAGGCCAGCAGTAAGAACCCAAACCTTGTAAGAACATCAGATCAAAACATCAACAGCAAAACAGAGAGGTCCAGTTACAGTCTTTGTAGTCAGTGTAGAGACGGTTCTTCTTTAAGTACAGCTCTTGTTTTTTAAATGCACTTAGGCCCCACTCACGCAAGTGTTTGAAGTGTTTTGCACAATTTATTTTATTGCCTTTCCATAATTTATAATCTATAAGCTGCTGTAGAACATCGATCTCTGACGAGAGCTGATCACTGTGCTCTGGTAGGGTGGGGGGGAATTACAAATGCAATGGCAATATGCCTGATGTGCTGGTTGCAGCTCAGCGTGTGATTCTGTGCCAGAGATTGAGCTCTCCAAAGCACCAAAGGCTTTTATCAGGAGCTGAGTGCAATGACGCTGATTCACAGCCCGTCAATCATCCAATGGCCTGATCTCGGTTTGCTTGCAGAACGATCAGAGATAGAACTGCCTCCGGGTCCCAGCCACGCTGATGATTTGTGGGAAATAAGCAGTTGTGAGGTTTGGTGGATAAAAATGACAATTTTTGTGGGAGGAGGTTTTACTTGTGAAATTGTAAGACTTGGCTCAGCCGTTGAATGCTCAGCTCTGTGTTGGAAGGTTGTGAGCTCACATTCCAAGATGAGGCTGCAGTGCTGATGCTGGGGATGGCAGTATTGTGATGAGAGGTTAACCTGTCTGCCTGCTCTTTAAGGTGGACATTGAAGATCCCATGGCATTACCCTATATTTGAGAAGTGAAGAGCGTTTCTCCTACCAATCTTCCAGTTAACAGAGAGTAGGGACGATATATATATATATATATAACTGACTTGGATGAAGGAGTAGAAAGGTTTATTTCCAAATTTGCAGATACTACGAAGGAGACACAGTAAATTGTGTAGATGAGAGCAGGAAGTTACAAAGATAGATAGATTAAGTGAGGGGGCAAAACTGGCAGATGGAATTCAATATGGGGAAGTGTGAAGTCATCCGCTATGGATCCAAAAATAGCAAAACAGAATATTTTCTAAATGATGAGAAATTAAGAACTGTGAAGGAGCAAAGGGATTTGGTGTCCACATTCACAAATGACCAAAAACAAGCTCACAGGTACAAAAGGTTATCAAAAAGCTAATGGGAAGTTGGTCCTTATCTCAAGGGGCCTGGAATATAAAGGAGAGGAAATGATGCTTCAACTGTATAGAGTTGGTCAGACCCCATCTGGAGTACTGCATTCAGTTTGGGGCACCTCACCTCAGGAAGGATATATTGGCTCTGGAGGAGGTGCAACACAGATTCACCAGAATGATACCAGGGTTTAAGGGTTAAATTATGAGGACAGATTGCATAAACTTGGCCTGTATTCCCTTGCGTTCGGAAGGTTGAGGGTTGATCTGATTGAGGTTTTTAAAATAATAAAGAGATTCGATATGGTTGTGGATTATGGCTGGAACCATTCACATTTTGAAGACTGAGGTGGATAGATATTTGTTAGGTCAGGGTATCAAGGGATCATAGAATCATAGAATTATACAGCACCGAAAGAGGCCATTCGGCTCATCGTGTCTGTCCGGCTCAGTGAAAAGAGCTTCCACTTCAACCCCACTACCTCGCTCTCTCCCCATAGCTCTGATCAACCCCACTCCCCGCTTTCTTCCCATAGCCCTACAAACTTGTCCTCCCCAAATAATTATCTGCATCTCTCTTAAAAGTTATTGTCAAATCGGCTTCCACCAGCCTTTCAGGCAATGCATTCCAGATCCCAACAACTCGCAGTGTGAAAAAATTTCTCCTCATCTCCCTTTGTTTCTTTTAACAACTATTTTAAATCGGTGTCCTCGGGTTACCAACCCACCCGCCAGTGGAAATAGTTTCTCCTGTTCACCCGATCGAATCCCCTTGTAATTTTGAAAACTTCTATTAAGTCTCCTCTTAATCTTCTCTGCTCCAAGGAGAATAATCCGAGCTTCTCTACCTCTCCTGATCACTGAAGTCCCTCATTCCTGGTACCATTCTGGTCAATCTCCTTCACACCCTCTCCAAGACCTTGACATCCTTCCTAAAGTGTGGGGCCCAGAACTGAACACAGTCTCTCGCTGAGGCCTAACCAGTGTTTTATAGAGGGTCATCATAACTATCATTATTTTGTCGTGGAGAAGTGCCACTGGAGTTCATCATAGGATACGGGATAAAGGCGGATAATTGGACTTGAGGTACAGATCAGCCATGATCGTAGAGAATGCTGGAACAAGCTTGAGGGGCTGAATGGCCTCCTCCTGTTCCTATGTTTCTATCAATTACTTCATAGCTGTTTGTAGAAATTTGCTCGGTGCTAAATTTCATAATTCTACATGACATTGTCTCCCTGGTGATTGGTTGGATTTTCTGTCAGTCTTGGTGGTTGGATGAATCAACCATCAGTCTTCATCACCCTCGGTGAACTCCAATCAAGCTTGCTGCTCAATTCAAATCCTTTATTTTATTTTAAACAGAGAGATCTTGTCAGCTTACCCAGCCTTTGATGAGATAAGCTCCTCGGAATAAAAGTATTCTGATCCTTCCATTCTTAGCCTGCAGCTTAGCTAGCTGTCAAGTGGAGGTTAGCTTCAATCGTCATCAAACATTTCCTTACTCCTTACTCCTATGCCAGAGCTGCTCGGCGCTGATGGGAGCTTCGCGCCAGGGGCTGGGCGAGAAGACCGCACAAATCCCACGGGTTTAGGAGAAGGGAGCACAGCGGTGCAACCATGTGCCTGATACAACACACACACACACAAACTTGGTTTATTAATCACTGGTTCATTAAGATGCGAGGAGGTTGGGGGTTAGAGGACCTCAGCATCCCTAACAGGCACAGACGATATTAACATGCCCAGAAGGAAGGGTAAAGGGATGGAGGTTTGTGATTTGACTGTCGGCATCCTCTCTATACCACCTCCTCGCCCACAGTGGCCACTGTCCCAAGTACTGGCACCTCCATAGTCTCTGTGTGTCTGATGCACTGCAACCATAGGAAACTGAGGCTCGGGAGTGAGACGTTGCCCTGTGTGAGAGGGGCCTTCAGCAGGCCATCAGTCACACCACAGCTCCCAAAATGTGTGATGTCTGAGCAGCATCAGAGGATGAAAGGCTTTCAGCTTCTGTTTGGCACCACGTCGTTCAGAAACATTTCTATATTTAATCGACCGAGCAGTGAGTGGCCTGAGGCCTTAGTGTAAAATATTCACTCTGTGACCACTGTTAGGAGCAAGGCTAAGTCGAGCCACCAGGAATCAAAACGGACACTTTCAGGGTTTTGGCCGACACAAGTTAGAGTTAGAAACCGGCCAAGCATAAAGATGTTTATTGGCTCGACTTTGATAGTTCGTACATAACTGTTGCTTTTGGCTAATGTTTCTTTCCTTTTTGTTTCAGTGCGACAGTGAAAGTGATCCAGATGAGAAGGTACGTTTCAGTTTATTCTTGAGCAATTCTCAATCGCATTGGTGTTCCCTTGTGAGTGTTTTTTGTCACGGAGGAAGTACCACTGAGATGAAGATAGTTACGGGTGGTTAAAATACACCATTTTCTTTGGTTCAGTGAAGGGCAGTACAATGTGTGCCCTGTAGATCACTGCCAGGTCAGTATTTGGTGACCAGAATTGAAGTGATTGGCAAAGGCATTGTTGGATGGAACAGCCAACCTGTGTCTCTGGTTAGCAGCTGACACATAGAGAGATGGGAGTAAGGAATCGATCGCTTGCTGCCTCCTGTGGTCTGAGTAAATCTGGCTGTGTTTCTGACGGGAGTCAGTGTGCTCTGTTAGTTAGGTGTGTGTGCTCTGCTCTGCTGAACCACACTCGCCTCCGAATGTTCAGCTGAAATATCAAAGAGGAAACAGTTTTAGCAAAAGGATCAGCGAGGTGGTGAATTGTAGCTTGAGCAAATGCCAACAGAAAATAATCACAACTGTCACTGGAAGCCAAGCAAGGTGAAAATTGCTAACACTTATCACATTGCCAGTAATTAATCTGAATTGGAAATGTTTGGGGATTATGAAATTCTGTTCATTTAATAACAATGATTGGGTTTCATGCGGTTATCTAAATGAGTTTAGGGTTTAAGCGTTGAAACTGTTTGCTCCACTGGGCTGGGCTGTGCTCAGTGTGTGTGAGGCCACTCGTGTGGCTCAGGTTATTAACAAAGTCCAATTAGATGCCTACGTTTTATCCACTTTCTCATTGCTGCGAGTTTTTGTATGTTGCGTTTGCTGGATGTTTTGATTGCCTGCACGCGCAGTCTAATATAAAAACATTATTCTGCCTGAATATTGGTAACAGTTCTGTTCCTGGTTCAACCCTACTGAAGTGTGGCATAAAGCCACACACTACATCACGACTGGCTCAGTCCTGCACAGAGCACTGCTTGCGTTGGTATTTAGACAATGTGGTGAACCATGAATGGACCAATGGTGACCTGATGGTCTTAATGCAAGAATTCAGATACATTTTCAGATCCACAGCTGGCTGGGACGAGACTCCTGTTATAGTAGCAGAGCTTGGAATGAACAGAAAGTTATAAAATCATAGAATGTTACAGCATTACCCAGGCCAGGTCTGCTCTAGTGCTTTCCTCCACATGAGGCACATACTCTAATTCCACTCTCCCACTGACTCCCTGTGCCATGTTCCAGCCCTAGATTCCACTACACGAGCTGTTGTGGTAACACTCCTATCCGCAGACATTTTTTTCTCCCTCTCCCATTTTCCTGTAAGAGTTCGGTCCTTCAGCTTTGTTTATTGAGGCTTCCGAGCGAGAGCGTGAAGGGGCTCCAGGCTCAGGTCAGGGCTGGCTGTGGTTTGGCTTCAGCCCCTCTATACATAGTGACGTGCCTCCCATTGTGGCTACGTTTGCCTTGAGTTATGTAATATTTAGCAATGCGTGTTTGCAGACTGTAGGAATATTTAGGAATCCTTCAAGCAGATGGCCCCGTGCTATTGGGGGCAGAATGATGGTGAGTGGAATGTCACAGTTCCACCCGGCCCTCCCTGTAACTCACCCCGGATACGGATTACACGTGGGCAAGCTGGGATTTGGGTTTCCATTTGTTTGAGATGAACAGACTGATCTCCGATTGCTCCTCCCCACCTCTGGGACCTATTAAACTTTCACCAACCTGTCCGTCCCTCTGCTCTACAGGCACTGGCCATCCCCAAGTTCCCCACCCTGCCCGCTCCACCATCGGAGGTCAGACCTTCAATCTTTCTGCCCCAACCCTCTATCCCAGAGTCCCTCCGTCTCACCCTTTCCCTTGCCTCCTTCAAGGCCCATCTCAACACCTTCTTTTTTGACCGCTCTTGTGGTCACTTTCCCTCCACCACCCTTCCTTGAATCTCATGAGGAATCGTGCTCCTGATTATCCAGAAACCTCCTGCTGGAAGGTGGACATGTGTGAAGGTTGGGTGATGACAGCATTGAGATTCAGCTCTGCTGGCTCGTCTCTGGAGAAGAATTCTCTGCCAACACACGCATATCTTAGAGGCTGACGCGTGCAGAATGACCACAGGGGAGGTATGGAAAGGGCTGGTGAAAGCCTCTCCAAGGGAGGGAGAGGGACAGTGTTGAGTAGAACGGGTAAAGGAAATGAAATGATTGGCCGTGGTATATAATGTGATAGGGAAGAATTACACAGGATTTATTGCCAATTCTGTTAACGTTTTGCAAAGAGCAAAATATTCAGTAGATAGGATCTGGAGCTGCAGAAAGATTTCTAAATGAAACTTGACAAATGTTAGTAATTGGCTGTGTTGCTGGTGCTGAGCACACATGTAATGGAGCATTAGTGTAGAGCTGTTTCATATTTAAAGTGTAAAGGGAGAGTGAGACCCATAAATGCAGTCAGATGCAGAATGTGAGAGTCTGGACAGGGCCATATATTGTGTGGATCTGACACAGGGGACACACTGCGTGCTCTGTGATGGGAACGCTCTGTACTAAAAGGCACATTTCTGTAACTTAAGAAGTCCCAGCAGCTGGGCATCATAAATAAAGATGAATAATTTGAATTAATAATCGTTTCCACACGTTGTGTTGCTGGTGGGGAAGGTGTGGAGTTACAGCAGCCTGTTTATTCAGCTGTTGCTCCATTCCCTTATCTACACATCTTCACTGCATCGATTACTTTGCAAATCTCCACAAGGAGAGCTCACACCAAGAAAATAATGTGCATTTCAGAGATGGACTTCAAATCCAAAAATATGGTTTATTCATCGCAACGCCATTATGCTGATCCAACTTGCCTGGTTAAAACCGTCCGTAGGGCATCGACTCACACGTCTGCCCTTCCAACACTCATTATTGAATCACGTAGGTTCGGATTCAATAGCTCCAATCGTCTATCAGGCACCAAGTCCTGGCTGATCTCCAACTTTCTTCACTCGAACATTGAGCAGATAGAGGCTTGACTCATGTCAGTGTCTATTCACCTCAAGCACATGCTGCCTGGATACACACTGCACCTCGTGTCTCCCACCCACTGTACCCCAACATTAGCGGCAGATTCTGCCCCCGCTCTCTGGAACCCCATTCAGGGGTCCCTCTGGCCGGCCTCCCTCCCCTTGCTCAGGGCCTGACTAAACACCTACCTTTCTGTCCGTGCTTATGGTCATCAATCTTCTCTCCACCCCCTATGGCTCCCACCCTCCCCCACCCCCTCTGGCCTCCAGCCCCTCCCCAAACCCCTCCGGCTCCCAACCCCTCCCCCATGCGCTCCGGTTCCCACCTACTCCCCCACCCCCTCTGGCTCCCACCCCTACCACCTCCACCGTGAGGCCCAGGCAGTGGTATGAAGCGTTGTCCTGATGTGATAGACATTGTGTAAATATTTTTGTTCCTGTCTTCACCAGAGGCTCCGCAAAGCCAAATAATTCCCACAGCCCCTCCCCCCACAGCACACCCCCCCAACAGGATATTTTGTGCCTCATGTTCTGCACCTTGAGTTGATGGCCTGGGATTGGAACACAGACCAGTAACGTTCTCTGTTACTCAGGCTTTCCTCTCTCAGAGTGCTGAAAACCACCCTTGACTTTGCCTCACTCGTTGAGAGGACAATGTTGTTACTGAGTTTGGGGTTAGCGTTGGAGTGAGACTAAGTGTAACTTATTCAATAACATTCATTATACAGCCAGACCTCGTGTGGGGCTCCCACCCTCTGCTGTGCCAGCGTGAAACCTGTACGTTCAATCAGACTCCACCACTTTCCCAGCACTCAGCATTCGCTGATTCGGTCGTTGCCACCTGATCCGGAGTCAAATGGGAATTGTTTGATTTTCTTTAAATCAGAAAATGAAAGCCTGCTCTTCCGAGAAGCCGCTTTATGCGGGTGACGGGGCCTGAGCAGGTTTCCCAGAGACGCCAGTTGTTTGGCTGTGGTTTTTATGTTGACAGACAGTTGTGTGTGTGGGCTCACCCGTCTCGCATCGCCCTGTCATTGTAAACAGTGACCTGTACGAGCGAGTGCTCAGCTGTGACAGTTTAATGGGTTGTTGGTTGACAGGTAAAGTACACGTTATAAAAGCAGGACTTTTATTAGTTTTTCTTTGACTGATATGAAGCGGTTACTGTAGTTACCAAATGCTGTGTGGATATCTGTGTGTGTGTGTATATGTGTAAGGTGTGCACACTAGTGCATATGCACACGGATGAGTGTGCACAAGTCCATCCCGAGACCCACCTGGTCTCTTTGTGAAACCATTTAGTCTTAAGACTGTGCAGAAATTTGGAAATTTCTTACATTGAATCTTAATGAGTATTGGTAAAAGGAGGGAAGATTGATCTGCAGATTAACCTTTAGAAAAGAAATATTAAGCAAAAAACACATAAATAAATAAATAATAATTTGGCCACGGCTGTTTGTGGGACACTGCTGTGCGCAATTGGCTGCTGCGTTTCGCCCACGAATATACAGTCAATTCACTTTACAGTATATTCTGTGAAGCACTTTGAGACACTTTGAAGACATGGTAAGGTGCTGTATCAAATGCAAGGATTATTATTATTAATAATGTGTGGGCTGGCACAGTGGTAGCACTCTCGTCTCTGAGTCAGAAGGTGGTGGGTTCAAGTCGGGACTTGGAATTACATGGAGCTCTGTGACGCTCCAGTGTAGTGCTGGGATGTGTTGTGTTGCCGGAGGCACCGAGTTTCAGATGAGATGTTAATCCAAGAGCCTATCTGCATGTTCAAGTGAACGTTAAGATCACTCATTCCATGGCTGTTTGTGGGGCATTGCAATGCCTGCTGCATTTTGCCCACAAAGTACACAGTCACGACACTTTAAAGTATATCCTGTGAAGTGCTTTGAAACGTCTCAATGACATGATAGGGCGCTGTATCAAGTGCAAGGATTATTATTATTATTATTAATTTGAAAGCTGATGCTTTTTAAGATGCACAGAAGGCCATATG